CTACAGGACTTCATCTTGGCAAACGGTTACATTTCAAACTGGGCACCATATACTTCCAGGATGAAGACCACCAGTGTGCTAGGAGAAAAACTTATCTTCATCCACTTTGCTTCTAAGCCAGGCAGATCCAGTAATCACATTTCAAGAAGAAAATTCTTTATTGTTTTTCAACTTATAGTACTCCAGCATACTTTGATATTTATGACCCTTGGGCTTTTTGAAGTGCTAAATAGCATATAATTGCTTTTTCAATTAAAACTAATACAGATGAATTTTAAGCAATTTTTGAGAGTTCTGTTTCAATTGTGTGTGTGTGTGTGTGTGTGTGTGTGTGTGTGTGTGTGATCATGAGAGCTATCCTGGTATTTATAGAATTGAGGACTGAAAAATAATCTCAGCTGTTAATATTTAGCAATTTAAGATTAGAGAGCAAACAAAATTCAATTTAATCTCATAAGCACAGATATGATCACAGAAACTTTTGAAACATGTTTATGTAGCACTGGCCTTGCAAGTAACTGTGTGGCAATTTCAGAAATTCTACAAGTTTCTACTCTTCCTTTGCTTTCTTGATTTCTAAAATACAAATAAATTCTAACTCTAATGATGTGTAGAGGTTTTGTTTGTTTGTTTGTTTGTTTGTTTGTTTTTCGCTTTTCCTGAAAGGATTCTAATAGGGAGCAAATGGAGAAAGAACTACTCTCATGGGGAAAAATGAAGACAGACAAGGCTTTAGTGACACATGACCCACTAAAATGTTTAGGGCATCCCCAAATCAATAAAGTAGTGATTCATTGATTTAAAAGTGGTAGAATTTTTTTAAGAGGGAGAGGGTGGTCTTTTTATCTAACATTTGACCAAAATGTAAATTAATGGTGTCTTGAATCCATATTTTGGAATATTTGCTCTTTCAGCTCCAGCGCCATGAACTGCTGCATAGCATTCGATAGCTGTATCTACACACTGAAATTCCTTAAGTGCACATCAACATTTTATTTTATTTTTATTTTTTATTTTTATTTTTATTTTTTTTAGCTGATCAACATTTTAAATGATAAGATAACTCTACAATGACACAAAATATTTTAGTTTTAAAGACGAATAGTAAATGCTCATATGTTTTTTACTTTAGAAATAAAAGAAAAGAAAATATTAACAGATAGGTGTCAGTTACTAAGTAGAATATCTGAGTAGATAGCAGATGTCAATATCTAATATTTATTTTCTATTTAAAAAACTAAATACCTGTATTTTATTTTCACATTTGATTCCAGAATATCCAGTGCGGCAAGAACAGACATTGGGAAATATGCATCTGCCTCCATGGAGACATTTTTGATTGCAAATTGCTGCAATACACAAATTTTTACAATTACCATCTTTTGACACAAATGCATGTGGCATATTCTAGTCAAGTGGTCTTAAGCCATTCAACGACTTGTCTACAAAAATAGTCATAAGAATCTATGACCTACTGCACTCCCGTCTTCATGCAACCAAAGCATACACACACACACACACACACACACACACACACACACACACACACACACCACCCAAAACTCAACACAACAGTTTTACAATGTCTATAAAGACATTATTAAAGAAAACAAAATTTTCATTGGCTGCATTTTAAAGTATTTCAAATATATCTTTTTGTTTTCTTTAGAGAGGAGATTCAAACCAGTAACAAGGTAGCATTCATAATTTTCTTTTTAACAATTTAGCAAAAATGCAAAAAATACCAGTGTATGGAAAAACAGACAATTTTATATACCATTATTAGAAGTTTAAAGTGAAATAATTCTATTGGAAACTTCTTAGAGGTTTTCACACTGTGTTAGAAATTTTTTTCCTTAAAATCCATCCTAATGAAATTTTAAAATATCTTTATCTCAATATATCTCTATTATCTATCTATCTATCTATCTATCTATCTATCTATCATCTATCTATCTATCATCATCATCTACTCATACCTATCTATCTACATACTCACCTATAGAGAGAAAATTCTTATAATTGTATCAACTAAAATGTTTCACACAGGGGAAAGTTTAAGTGAATTATTGTGTTTATATTATGGAACTTAATATATCATTGAAAATTTGTTTTTAAGGACATGTAAATGCTTTGAAGTAATATTGGGTGAAAATAAGCATAATATAAAATTATATACAATCTTTATTTTTCATGGGAGAGGTATCTGCTTTAATAGCTCATATTAGAAACTGGCATAATTCAAAATAATATTCCCTTTGGTATAAATGCAACATTGAGAGGTTCTGTTTCATCAGGATTGTTGTGTACGGTTGGGCAGGTTGTGTAATACACAAAGCTCCACCCCTAAAGAAGCACTGTTCACATCACAGACTTCATATATTTGAATATTTGTTAAACAATTTTCCAGAAGATGGCAGTAAGACATCTTGTTCAAATAATGTCATCAATATTTGCACAGTGTCTGGACAGTAGGAAATAAAGCATTTTGAGGAAGGGGACTCTAAAAAATACACATAAAGGGGGAGCATTTGAGATATGCTCCTTGGCGTATGTCGCCAGTTTGGCCCAAATGAACTATTATAAATATTCTCCACAGGTCTGGATGTTTCCTACATTGACATTTACTTGGTATATTGCATCAGGATTCCAAACAAGCCCACCCAAGACCACCCTGCGAACATGGACCCAGTACTCATACAAGCAAGGGCCCAAAGTGACCAATGGTCTCCCCGCTTCACACTGAGTGCCCTGGGGTGAGTTTATCTCAGAATTCCAGGACTCCTTGCTTTAAGTAGCAGGCCATGACTTTCGGTTGTTCTTAGAAAATCCTTGAGGTGGATAAGGGTTGAGATTAAACCAGGGAAAGAAAAAAAATAATAAATGGGTTGCTGCTTTTAATTTCAGCTTTTTAATATGTGTGTGATTTTCTTTTATTTTTACTTTGTTTTTCAGTTACAGTTGACATTCAATATTATTTTACATTAGTTTCAGGTGTACAGCATAGTGGTTAGGCATTTATGTAATTTATGCAGTCATCCCTCTGATTAGTCTAGTACTGACCTGGCACTATACACAGGTGTTGCAATATGAATGACCGTATTCTCTATGCTGTACTTTATATCCCTGTGACTACTTTATAATTACCAATTTGCACTTCTTAATCCCTTCACCTTTTCACCCAGCTCCCCAACCCCCATCCTGTCTGACAACCATGAACTTGTTCTCTGTATCTATGAGTCTGTTTCTGTTTGTTTATTTTGTTTTTTAGATTCCACACATAAGTGAAATCACATTGCATCTGTCTTTCTCTGTCTGACACTCCACTCAGCACAATAACATTCAGGTCCATCCATGCTGCTGCAGAGGGCAAGAACCCTTCCCTTCCCTGGCCGAGCAATAGTCCACTGTATATATGTACCACCTCCTTTTCATCCATTCATCCATTGGATCCTTCTCCTAATTTCAGCTTTTTAATTGTGTTGCTTACTGGAAAAAAAAAATATATATATATATTCATACATACTGGAGGGTACCAAAAAAATGTATACACAGACTTGTATTCATCTTTTGTTATCAGT